AAGTAGCGCTTAAATGTTCATTTTTTGTAAGAACATAAGTATACATTCTGAATATAAGAACATTAATTTTACAAAGTGACTAATTACAAGAGTTAAATATTGGTTATGTATGCTTCTATCCTTGATAAATACTAGCTTCGTTTCTTAAAATTTTGCCATCTTGTACAATTTGGATCGTGCTTTTGAACAGTATAATATTATGAAAGTTACAAATTTCACACTTTTATGAAAGTATTTTCAATAAAAAACATTTTTATATTATAAGTAATTTTCGATAAAAATATATAGTTTGTCGAAGTTTCAAAAATGGTAGAATTTTGAGGTAGACGGGAGCTAAGAGATAAAGAAAATGAGTAGAAAAATATATGTCAATAAAAGAGAAATAAATATGCAGTATAAGCGTAAATGTAAAAAACTTGAAGTAGATTACTACTTTATCACTAAGGATTTTGATTAAAAATGGTTTACTTTAATCTTTTATTTAGCATATTCACATGTATCCACTCACATATAATAAAGTTTAGAGACTAACATTTCTATAATAAACATAGCAAAATCATTATATTCAAATAAAGTAGTCATTAAAAAATCAATATATATCATAGAACCTAAAACATATGAAACAATTTAATTTAGCACATTGACAAAAAGGCTTCGATTTGAGCAAACAAATCAATGAATCAATATTATGGGCATAAAATGAAATGAAGTGTTTTGACTAAAATTTCAATAAGTAACAACACAAATCTCTTACAATAAAATAAAATAAACAATCATTAATTGTCATAACAATCAAAATTAACAAGTCATATTCGATATCAATATTTAAATAAATTAATGTTCTAACAATATTTAATACGTACTCTGTATAATTTAAAGCCTAATATCTCAATAACAATCACATAATTTAAACTCATTTTTAATAGCCGCATCACCTAGCAGGTTTGAAGCAGACCTTGATCAGGAGCGTGGATGGCGATAGTGCACTTGAAGACGGAGCAAGATATTATTTTTATTGTTTTTTTGCTGTTTATTTTTAATGATCAGGCTATTTTATTTACTTTTTCGTTGGTTATTTCTCTTGTTATAAGACTCTTGCATTAGGATTAGATGATGGGAGGTCTGTTTGACCGAATTTGGCTCATTTATGCCTATTACACGATCAATGAGTCATATTGCTTCTTTGAAGGTGATTGACTCTAAGTCCGGTTCGAAGGCTAGCGGTTGCTTGTGGTTTTTTTGTCATTTCATTCCCTATCTGAATGTTGTGATATCAATTTAAGCCTCCTTCTTCCCAAAAAAAAATCACCGCATCACCTCCTCATGTTACATGTCACTAGCACGTAATAAGCATTCAACATCATCACAACATATCTTTCATACATAAAAGAACAAAATTTATAACCCTAAATGAACAAAAAGTAGATTGAAGTCATGATTGCTCATAATTATCTGTTGTTTGAGAACTCCAAAAAAGAGAGCTATTGAAGTGAAAAGAGAAAGAGGGAATGAGGGTTGTGGAAAAGAAAGGGGCACATGGAGAGGAGAAGGAGAGAGGTAGAGATTTAAAACATGGCTTGAAAGTTTGAATGACACAGACAATAATTCCGGCAACGAATTCAATGATACCAACTCCGTTTATTTTCCGGCTCCATTTCCGGCGACTCCAACTCCGATGAAAAAGAAGTGAATAAGATTAACTATGACACAAGTTGATATGATGAAAATGGGAGATGATGTGATTTACACGGAAACCAATTTTTATATCCAGACACTAGTTGTGTGTATACAAACAAAAGGTGTTTGTGCACATATTCTTGTCTACCCATTGACATATTTTGTAACACCTTGATCCTATGGGCCCCAAGATAGTTACTCTTAAATACTTTTCAAACGTCTAGTATTGTCCTCACAAACCAACACATTTAACTTGGAGTTCTTATGAGATGAGCATGCTTAAAAAGAAATGCACCTTGTTGGTGAGTAGTACTATTAATACCTTTAAATTAATCCCAAGTATTACATATTTTCAGACACGTACAATTTGTTGAATTTAATTTGTTCGGACAGACAAATTTATATATAAAAAAATCTACACACTTGTACATTTTTTATTTGTATAAACAAACATTAATTTATGTGCAATATAACCCTGACTTCTATGCAACATTTTGACTATGTACACATGCAGTGAAAGCAAACCGTTGTCTGTATGACTGTATACACAAACATTTTCTTTTTGTGGCAATTTTTTTTTACAAAATGTTACTTTTTTTCAATTTCATTTTATCTTATAGATAAATTATATCATTATTCAATATTACAGTGGCAATATTTTATAAAGTACAAGGACAAAAATTTCGCCAACCATTCATTTTTATTTTTTCAATGATTTTTCGGTGACTCTTAAGCACCATTTTTTTTCGGTGCACAGACAAAAATAAAAGTGAAAAGAATGACGAAAGATGGAGGATGAATAAAAGGTAAAAAGAAAAAAAAAAAGAAAAAAGGAAAGTTGAGTGAAGAGAGAGGAAACAACAAAGAAACGGGAAGAAAGAAAAAAATAGGAATGATACGTATGATGGAGAAGAGAGAAAGCGGGAGGGAAGGTAAAAAAAAGGGAAAAGGTGCAAATAGACCCATGTACTAACAAAAAAAGGTCAAATAAGCCCTTATTTAGGAGGCTCTGTCTGGTAATCGCCATTTGGGGTGGTTCCTGGCGGAATTTGTTGATGAAATTTTTTGAGCATCTTATTTATCCAGTCTAGTTTACTCATACCAAATTTCAACTAAAAATTCAACCGGGAAGGCATTCAAATGAATTCTTGAAAATAACTGTGCAGTTAGAATCGCAGTTATCTTCAAGAATTCATTAGAATGTCTTCCCGATTGAAGTTTTAGTTGAAATTTGGTATGAGTAAACTAGACTTGATGAATAAGATGCTCAAAAAAATTCATCAAAAAATTCCACCGGGAACCACCCCCAATGACGATGGCCGGACAGAGCTTTCTAAATAAGGACTTATTTGACCTTTTTTGGTTAGTACATGGGCCTATTTGCACCTTTTTCCAAAAAAAATGCACAATGCTTTATATTTGATGTATCTCAGGGTGTAACTGAGGGCATACACCTAGCAATTTTTTTGAAAAAAAAAAGACTATTTATTTGGTGTGCTAAGACTACCCGCAATCATACTCCGCCAATAAAGCAAAATTGTTGAAAAAACATGACTATTGAAAATTGCGTATTCATTCTGTCAATTCAATTTCTGTATTCAATCCAGCACCGTCAATATATTTATCCAGCATATTTTTTATTTTATTAAATCATTACTTTGTGATACATCAATTTTTTGTTAATTATGATTTAAAAAGTCACACATCCCGATGTAAAAATAAATAAGTTTAGAAATTAATATTAATTTTGTTATTTCAGCCCTATTCTTGAAAAAACATGCAATGCAAAAATAATATTGTAAGTATGAGGTGTTAATTTTAGCATTATGATCTGGCTAAGAAAAATTTTGAGACCAAAAAACTCAAAGAAGTGATTGACACTTTAAATTTATATAGGAAATATTAATGTCATAGGAAAAAATATTATGAATTTTCATATATATTTTTTAAAAAATGGGGTATAAATTAAAATGTTATTTTTAAAAAATTAATATTTTCCTTGCCACTGCCCCACCACCTACTTTGTGTCCGCTAGCAGCATGCTTCTCTCCCTTTTTCGATCATGTTTTGTACTACCTCCGTCCCGTTAGAAGGTTCCCATAGTAAAACGGCACGGTTATTTAGGTGATAATTAAATAAAGTAATTCAGTTATATTTTGAGAAATAATTCTAATAGGTATATATTATAATGTGTTAGTATTGATAACTGTGATGTTATAAATGTATTATTTTTAATATTTAATGACTAATTTGTCACTTAAAATTGTTAATTGTTTCCTAAAATGGAAATGGGAACCAGAACCTTCTAATGGACGTCCAAAAAAGGAAAGTGAAACCCTTCTAACGGGACGGAAGGAGTATTTTTTTCTCTTGTTGCCACAAAGCCAATTCCCTATTCCAATATCAATATTGTATGGTTTAAAAGTGTACACATTTTGTGTGCACTACTATGTTTTTAAAGCTTCACTAGCATAGTAGCATGTCTTAAAAATACTACATCCGTCCCGCTAAGATGTTCCTAGTTTGATCTACATACATATTAAAGAAAATAGGAAATAAACTTACCAGAAGGTAAAATTTACTGTTTTGACACTGTTTGACACTATTTTGCATTGTTTTACACTGTTTTGATGTAGGATAACTTTCAATTTAGGAAAATGAGAACTTCATTTTGGGACTACTAAAAAAGGATAACAAGAAGATCTTAGTGGGATGGAGGAAGTGAAAAATTTTAAAATCGAAAAAAATCTGTTTGTACACTTTTTCTATACATACTTTTGTGAGAGGACTGTTTTGTGTTTATCAAGATTATTTTTTGTTTGTACAAAAAAGTGTGTAGAAAGCAGGGGTGGAGACACGGAGGGTCCGCAACCCCGCAAAAAAAATTCTAAGTATATACTCCCTCCGTCCCTGAAAGAAGTTCCCACTTATATTATTTGGATGTCCCTAATTTAAGTTCCCATTTCATTAAATGGAAAGTTATCTATATCAAAATAGTGCAAAATAGTATCAAACGGTGGCAAACAGTGTCAAAACAATGTCAAAACAGTAAAATTTATCCCTTGACTCTGAGGAGTAAAATGCGGAACTTCTTTCATGAGGAGTACTCCCTCCGTCCCATAATAGTTGTCCACTTTCAATTTGGCATGATTATTAATAAAGTGGTTGAAAAGTAAAAGTTGTGGCTGAGATTTGAATAGAATAAAGTGAATTAAAAAGAACCACATATTTCATGTCAAAAAAGGAAACAAAACATTCATTTTGGGACAACCCAAAAAGGAAAGTAGGACAACCAAAATGGGACGAGGGAGTATTATTTAAGGACACGTCGCCTGTAACCATAAGCATAGATGTCTGGTTATGAGAAAGCGTGTTTAATGATTGTTTCTGAAACAGTGGACTTCAGTCGGCGCGGTTCCTGACTCGGCTAGTCGGCTGAGATACAAGAATCTCCCACGAAAAAAACCAGAACAAGAATTTGTACGAGTATCCATTACTCCACCGAACGAGAAGAAACAAGAATGATGAATTCGTGCGAAGTTCTTCCGTCGCCTGCAAAAGTCTCTTCTTTGAATTGCATTGACCTTTCCATCCCTGACATTAAAACCTCTGCTTCTCTCCTTAAACAGGCACTCTCTCTATCTCTATCTGAATGTGAGCATGAGATTAGGAAATTTATGTGTGCATGAACGTTATGAAAGAGGCATAAATTTAAAAGTCGTGATTTCTAATACGGTATCAACTAGATGATTCCTTCAGGGTTTAAATGTAAGTTTTGGACTATACTACTTGTCTATTTGAAAGTCGTTGAATTTGCTTGTATTTGTATTGATTCACTAGGCCTCCATAGAGTCTGGATTTTTCTATGTGATAAATCATGGAATCAGCCAGGAGTTCATGGATGAAGTCTTTGAGCAAAGCACAAAGTTTTTTGAGTTGCCATTGCCGGAGAAAATGAAGCTCCTTAGGAACGAGAAACATCGAGGCTACACTCCTATGCTGGACGAACTCTTGGACCCAGAAAATCAAACTCACGGTTTGTGTTTCTTCCATCTGATATTCTGTTATGTACTTTAAATCTACCATGAGTCCATGACCTCAGGGTGGGGTGGTGGTGGTGGTAGCTGTTATCACCTTATTTAACTAGCTTAGAGTTGAGAGTTGAGTTGATATTGTATCTTAATGTAACCCTCCCTACATAATGTAGAAGATGAATTTCTCATGTCTGTGGTGATAGACCACAGATTCAGACCGGAAAGAGGAAAATGAGTTGGATGGGAGAAAACTTCCAAGTATATTTGTTATTCAACTACAAATTGTCTTGCTATAGCAATATGTTTTCCTCCCATACAGGATTACAATTATAATCTATAATTCGTAAAAGAAACATATCCACATATACAATCTGCAAATATTACAAATCACAGAATGATGTTAATTTTGACAAAATGAGTTACTAGAAATGATACTTCGTACATAGCCCCTCAAGTTGTGGACATGAATGGTGCTTAATGCATTAGAAGCTTATCTGCTACTCCCCCGTTCCCCTATAATTTCCATTTTTGGATGCCCCCTATTATTGTCTCATGCCATATTTGGTAACATTTGTGTGGCTCTAATTCATTCTTACTTTATAAACTGGGAAAAACCGGTTTGACTGGGGAATGGGTACGGGGCGGGGAATACCCGAATTTTTTAAATGGTTAATGGTGCGGTTATGGTTCTATACTAATCCACCCCGTTATCCGCCCCGAAACCGCCCCGTTCACTAGTGGTGCGGGTACCCGCACCGTTACCCGATCGATAACATTATTAATAAATTGTAACTTTTTATATATAAGAATAATAACTATATATGCTAAATTGTGTATAATAAATAGTATATATCATATAAATAATGCTAAAAAGTATACTACTTTTTTAGGCCTAAAACTAAATATAGGCCTAAACCTATTTTTGAAATTTGGATTCTGGGATGATTACTATTTTTTTATTATGTTACAAGAGATATTGGGTGCATGTCATACTAATGAATTTAGGTCAGTATGCTTGATTGCTTAAATGTTTATTTTTGTATGTTTTAGGGTGCTTTGAATATATAAATAACAAGTAGGATTAAAAATTGGTTATTTGTTTTCCCAAAAAAGTTGGTTATTTGGTATCATTTGGGGAAACGGTTACCCGTGGATAAACCGATTCCCCGTTGGGGCGGGTACGGTTCAAATAAAAATTACCCGAATGGGTAATGGGGCGGTTTTGGGGCAAACATTTATCCAACGGGGCGGTTCCGGTTTTATGTGTACCCGTCCCCGATCCGCCCCATTGCCATCACTAATTATCAACCACACAATTCTACTTTTCTTAAAAACCACACCACTTCCTTCTGTCCCAATAATAGGGGGACGGAGGGAGTATTTGTTTGTATCAATAAAGATGTTTATAGATGAATGGAATATTGTGAATCACCCACTCGCTGTGATTAATAAACTGATTATGTTTAAGATGTATATGTGTTAAATGGTTTGGTTTTAACCATCCAAGTGCTTGGGCTCAGATCCCATCCTCAAGACCAGTCCAATGGTTTGATTAGGGCCCGTCCAACCAGACACGCAGATCTGCCCACAAGATGACAAACTACTCGTGTTTGCTGCTTGAACTCTCAAACTATAAATATTTGTTCACTACCATGGTGAAGAGCAGGCTGAAATGATGTAATCTACTACTGATTTTTGTGTGATTTTTTAACCCGGGGAAGTCCTTTTATGCGTAGGACTCCTCTGCTCATGGTTGTGTGTTTGATACAGGTTGTGTAACATACTACGTGATATTGTTACTGTTGGTCAGTCCTGTGTTCTCAGTTGCAATCTATTATTCTTAACTAAAGCTTTAAACACTTGTACATTGAAAATTGTACAGTTCTGTATCACATCATCCATTGAATATAGCGTCTTAGATTGGTCAAATACTCCATCAGCTGCTATGACACTCTTTACCATAAATAATAATGGGAATATAGCGTCTTAGATTGGTCAAATACTCCATCAGCTGCTATGACACTCTTTACCATAAATAGTAATGGGGATATCGGATACATTTTGACACACCCCAAAAATGTCATTTTGTACTCCCATTAAGTGTATATTATTTCACCCCTAAGTTTTCTTCCTATTCTGTCCTTGAAGGTTTCACAGAACTAGCTTTGTGTTGACGTTTCTATTTAATTTGGTCTCAGGGGATTACAAGGAGGGATATTATATAGGTATTGAACTACCAGAAGATCATCCAGAAGCAGAAAGACAATTCTATGGGCCAAACAAATGGCCAACTGAAGGTGGTTTTTGTTCTTAACTTCTTATATGCCATTTTCTCCTTAGGAAATAAAGTTAATGGACTATTTGAAAGATAATTTACTCATATTTAACTTGACTCTTTGTTTGCAAGATATCTTGCCTGGATGGAGAGAAGCTATGGAGAAGTATCACCAACAGGCACTGTAAGTTCTGATATCTGGACCATGATTGGATTTCTCAATCCAGATAGAAAGATCATGTTGTATTGTTGTGTATACATTTTTGTATAATTGACATCTTGTTTTAAGAATACATGTAAGTTTTTGTTGTTTTTGTTTTTTATTTGTTCCACTTATCAGTTATATCATATTCTCTTAGATTTGAAAATATTCCATAACTCGTGTTCTACAAATTATTTGCTTTTCTGTGATGGTTCCTATTTTCCAAAATTGTTTTATAAGGGATGACTCTTTTCTGTATAGCCATGGGTTATATTCTACTTTGTTTGTTTATACATTGTGTACACTTTCTTTAATTTAGTAAGGTGGCAAAAGAAATAGCAAGGATCATAGCTCTTGCACTGGACGTGGATGTTGATTTTTTCCAGCAGCCGAAATATCTTGGCAATCCTATAGCCACTCTACGCCTGTTACATTATGAAGGTTGACAAATACATCTGTAATTGAATCATAGTTGTCATGGTGCATGGCGATCGCCATGGCTCAAAGGCATTTTTCATGGCGCATATGACGCTATGGCGACAGCCACTTTTCCAGGGCGATGGCGCAATATGGCGCACGCCATATTTCGGCATTGACTACTATGAATTGAATTATGTTTGTTCTGTATGGTTCATGATGTGTGCATGTGGAAATACATCAGGTAAATGTTCTGATCCCGCAAAGGGAATTTTTGGAGCTGGTGCACATAGTGATTTTGGTTTTATCACGCTCTTAGCAACTGATGACAACTACGGCCTTCAGGCAAGTAAAATAGTGTAACCAATTACTTTTTATTACAATTTATTTACTTCTATTAAGTGAAATTATATGTAATTTATCTTTGGGGTAAGGTGTAGATACACATGGTGTAAATGGCATATTGTAATCAACCCTTAAACTAATTTAGACACAAAAGTACACATGAACCATATGTGGATGAGAGCATATATAAGCCTAATTTAAGTTCAGGTACATTTTTTCTTAAAGAAAATGTTCTAAAAATCACTATTCGCTAAAGCAGTTCAAGGATTCACATATTCCCTTAAACTAGTTTTGGGTCAATTATTCTAAAAAATTTAGTTTATTGATTTTCAAGCGCTCTATTAACAGAGCGTTAAAAGTAGCATGGTTCCTTTCACTTAATTTGGTAAGATAACTCTTGGGATTAAAATATATACCTTCCTCCATTCCATACTAAACTTTATAATTTCCTTTTTGGGTGTCTAACAATAAATAGTAAACAGTAAACTCTATTACTCCCTCTGTAATTTTGCGAAATCTCCTTATTTAGCTGTCCTAAAGAACTTTGCAATTTCCTTTTAAAGTTATAAATGTGATTAAAGTTATTTATCTTTCTTATGCACAAATCTCAACCACACAATTTTACTTTTTTTTTATTTTACGTGTAAGTCAAACTTGGCCAAGTTTAGTGGGATGAAGGTAGTGTTTCCTTTTTTTGCGTATCTAAAAATAAAATTCACTTTCCTTTGAAGGAAAGATTTGCATGGTTGACAATGTATCTTTCTGTTTTAAATGAACCATAACTACACCATTTTATTATCATAATAAGTGTGTAACTCCCAAATGCAAGTAGTAGTATATCATGCGAGGTCCAATCAATTACTGGGTTATATTTGTGCCTTACCCGTGAAACAGTGTATTTTAAGTTGATATATTTGAGTATAATTGGGCAAAAAAGTACTCTCCCCATCCCCATAATGTGCTACATTAGACACTTAATGGTTATGGATTTTCCAATTTGGCCAATAATATACGTTTATGCAATATGATTGATTATATGAAAGTATTATAAAAATGTTTTTTGTTTAGACTACTCTCATAATAAAGTACAAAATACAGAACAACAACATTACCTTAGTGTTGCAAAGGCTCCCACTTACAGTGGGGTTAGAGAGGGTCAGATGTAAGTAGCCTTACCCTTTTGGCCATGTACTAAAACACAGAGAACCTGCTTCTTCATAACAAAGAAGGGCGGACAATTTAGAGTGAGACATTTTGCTTTATTCCATCATATTCCTAAGTCAAAAATAGCAAGTCTTTGGCTACATAGGAAATGATGGAAAAAAGTAAAAAATACACAATTTTAACTAAAATATACTACCTTCATCCCCCTTAAGATTATGGCAAGAGGTAGTGATGCAGTTATTAAGTAAAGTGGAATTCTGTGATTTAATTCAAATCGGCAAAGTGTGAATGAAGTAAGAATGAATTGCAACTGCACAAATATTACCAATTATGGTATGAGACAAACTTAGTAGGACGGACAAAAAGGGTAAATTGGGGCAAAGATGGGGGGACGGAGGGAGTATCATTTAAGAATATATCTCAAAGTTCATCATCCTTGACCACAAGCGTCAAATGCGGCCTTTTAAAGTGGGACAGAGGGAGCATCCAAAATTATATTAGGGTGTGTATCCCTAGACATAGTTCAAATGTGTTTTTGTGCTCAAACTAGGCTAGCTGGATATGTTCTGCGACTTATTTGAGTGGCATTTTGCACCTTAATCTTACCCTTTATTCTTTCTCAGATCTGCAAGGATAAAGAAGCTAATCCTCAGGTTTGGGAGTATGTAGCGCCATTGAAAGGGTATGAAACTGTCTTTATTTGTGTTTTGTATGATGAGCACCAAAGAAAAAAGAACATGCCCACACTTTCTTCCAAAAGCTATATGTTTTTGTTAATAAGCATGAATCAAGTCTAATTTGTTATTTTCGTGTGAAATGCCATTTGATATAACATGTCTAACCTCTTCAAAACAAAGCCATTGACTGTTTTAGAGACTATTACATTTTAATTTTTTTTCTACTTACAGTGGATTCATAGTAAACATTGGTGATATGCTGGAGCGGTGGAGCAACCTTAAATTCAGGTAACTTTAAGTTCACATATATATAACCTAGGTAGTCATTGCACTCCATTTTGTATAAACTGCGTTTTCCATGTCTGTGTGCATGTGTATATGCATGTTCCAGTAAACCGTAGTTATGTTAAATACTTAAATTGTTCAGACAATTATCATCTAGTTGCCGTAACTCATTTGTAGTGTGAAAACTTATACGAAGTACGGAGTAGTATTTTAGAAACAACTCTAGTTTGCTGCTTTTATTACTTGCAACACTCGGTTACTTCTGTCTTTACTATTTTTTCCTAGATCAACATTGCATCGCGTACTGGGAAATGGTCAAGAAAGATATTCTGTAAGTATTTGGTTTAGTTTGGTTGTTCTTCAATAGTTGTTTCACTGTGGTAGATTTATTTCACTTAATGCCTCTTGTTTTAACCGTAGTAATTACATTTATCTTCCCAAGCCTTCACTTTGTGAGTGAATTATAGCTCCCTGATTGGTTCACAATCCCCTGGAACAGTACTATTTTGAACTTCTCTTGGGATCTGTTGTAGATTTTTATTGGCAGATGCTTTCAACTGTCATACTTTTATGGTCACAGAATTCATAATCAGTCCGGCTCATGCCCACCTTTTGCTTTCTATGAGCAGATTGCATCTTTCTACGAGCCTAGTCATGATTGTATAGTTGAGTGCCTGCCAACTTGCCAATCAGATGACAATCCTCCCAAGTTTGTACCTGTGTCTCTCTTTACTAGTGTTATGTTTTTTACCGTGGTTATTGTGATTATTATCATTATCATTATTAATATTGCTTTTTGTTGTTAAAAGCATTGGAAATAACAGTCAAATTGCACTTCATGGACAAAAATTGCAACTAGACTTGCTATGAGTGTACTTTTATGGTGACGTAAGAATTGCACATAGCCATAGTAACTGAAAGTGCCTAAGTCATATGTTTATCCTTTATCCTCATTTCGGTCATATTTTAGGTATTATTTATAATTTATTCCACTGAACTCATTCAGTAATTTGACAGTGGAAGGCTTGCCCCTTATACACCCTTATGGTGGGACCCTTCCCCGGATCTTCGTCTTGCGGGGATGCCTTTGTGCACTGTGCTGCCCCTTCGTATCTCAATCAGTAAATTGTGCACATTCAGCCAATATAACACCCCCCAAATTGGCTCTAAGTAGATCAATATCCAGTACCGTCAAGGTTTAGAATGCATAAATGTTGTCTGGATTTCTATAGGCAGTAGAAGAAATATGCATCAACTGCTTCAGATTTCAGATTATTACATAGCGGCAAAATAGGCCACATATTTCTGCAAAATATTTTACTAATTACAAGTTAATTAACTGTAACCTGATCTAACAATTTTCAATATGAATGGGTTCCATTGCCAGGTTTCCTCCAATAAAATGTGAAACATACTTACTTCAACGATACATGGATACACATGTTGATCTGAATATATACAAACAGGAGTAAGACACAAGCTCAGAGGTTGGGAGGATCATATACAACTGTCATCTAGTCCTCATTGAACTTTTCAGTGCTATTACAACAACCTGTGGAAATATGCAAAAGCTGCCTTTTTAAATATAATTGTCTGTGGTCAAGTCTTTTAAGTAATGAGTTATGGTCTAACTCAAGGGTTATGTTCAAGAAGTTGCTCGCATGTGAACATAATGGTGTTGTAAGTTGTGTTGGATCAACATAATCATTTTGTTAGGGTGTATTATCATCTGTAATAATTTGTTGGTATTCATTCTAATAGAACATAAACCAATAAACATAACGAAATGCAAAAAAACAATGAAGATAATCAAGATATGGAATTTATCAGTTTCATAAACTTGTAAGCCAAGTCAAGTTGTCTTGATATTGAAAAAAATTCTGTGTTTTTTGTATCGCTGAATTGGACTACATTTCTACATGACTGTACATGACTTTTAGAAGTTATGTTTCCAAATTTAATATTGTACCTAGATTGAAACATGAGGAAGTGATGCACCTATTAGGCTATTAAGGATGTTTTTACTTGGATTGAAATTTACTGATCTGGTTTGATATGAACTAGTGCTGGACTCGGGCCGGGCGGCCCGGCCCGGAACCGGCCCGGCCCGGTTACTATTTGGCCCGGCCCGGCCCGGGGCCCGGTGGGTCCCTCGGTTCGGTTCGGCCCGGCCCGGCTGCTGGGCGGTTCGGGCCCGGGGCCCAGGTTTTGGTGAACCGGCCCGGCCGGTTCGGGCCCGGTCCGGGCCGGATTTTAATTTTTTTTTTTTTTTTTTTTGATTTTTTTTTAAGTTTTAGGTTGGATTAGGTATTTTGGGCCATTTGAGGTGGTTTGGGATGGTTTGGGGTTGAGGGGGAGGGGTAGGGGATTAAATAGGAGAACAAAAAAAAAAAAATTATTGGGCCGGTTCGGCCCGGCCCGGTTTGGCCCGGAACCGGCCATCGGCGGTTCGGGCTCGGGCCTCCCTTTCCTGGCCCGAGGCCCGAACCGGCCCGAGTCCAGGCATAATATGAACTAGTCTGGTCGAGTAAATGTCTGGTCTATGTGTATTTTATAACTATTCAAGTCTGGTCTGTTCTAGTCTGAATTATTCTGGTCTAATCTGGTCCGGGATTGAAAACAGTCCAAGTAAAGACATCCTAAGAAAAGTAGGATTATAATATTGAATTGTAAAGTGTGAATAGAATAAGAATGAATTATAATGATACAAATATTGTGAATGAATTATAATCATACAAATATTGTCAAATATGATAAGAGACAATGTTAGGTGGTCAAACGAAAAATATGACAAAAATAGTGGGATGGAGTGATTATGCTATATAATTCTATCTCAATTCTAACTCTTTATCACTGCAAGTCACACCTTTCATAATGGATTTATTTTCAGTTCAACGACTCGAACCATTTTTTGTCATTCTCTATCAGTCTTCATTCCATTGATATCTACAACTCCCTTACCCTAAATTGGTTGGCTTCTTTTTTCGAATGAAACGTTTTGTCCTCTTAAGCCATCCCTTCCAAGCATATCTTTTTCCTACATACCTCTTCATATGGGTTGGGGGGGGGGGGGGGGGGGTTCTTCATATGGGTTGGGGGGGGGGGGGTTATTGTCCTCTCAATCAGTGTACCTAAGAATGAAGCGATGGTTGACATGTAAGTGGTAGATGAAAAAGACCCCGATCCTTGATAATTGATAGAGGGCAAATTTGATCATTTGATATGAGGAGAGAAGGTTGGCATAGATTCAAACAATTGGGTGAAGACAATGAGGTCTTGATGGTTCGGGACAGTGAATGCGAACTAGAAGAGGGTCAAGGTCAAGAAGGCAATGTGACTATGGCCCTGAAGCCTGAAGAAGAAGGCCATATACAAGGAAAGTTAGTGACAAAGGAAATAAGGAATAAAGAGTGGATGACAGAACTAAACCCTTTGTGGAAGAATAAACTGAAGCACTTCTTAAAGCTTCTAATACTTACGTGTGATCCAATGATGTATGATGTTGACTCAAATTAGGGGACTTTTCTATCACCCTTTATGTTCAATCCTTTGATTGCTTATGGTTTGATCAATTTCAATGATGACAGTGTAGTGAGTAATTACTATGATTATTGTTTGCTGGTGTGCTTCATTTTGCTATAACTAATTGTTATCTATTGTGTGATAGACTTGGCCTCACTAAATAACTAATTACTGTGATGAGATATATGTTCTTGTGCTTATTTTTGCTATGAGTAATTACTGTGATTTTTATCCTGATTAATTAATGTGTCATTTAGGACACATGTGGTGCTCTGACTGGTTTTAGTCCAAGTTATTACTTTGTTGATGGGAGGCTATGCTTTTGGGACTGCTATGATCAGTGGAGGAGCAACATATATGAATGTGGTGTCAATTGACACCATTCAATTTTTTTTTGTAGTTATATACATAGAGTTATATTTTCAAAAATTAATTTTACACCATTTATATAAATAGAATGACAATCAATTGACATCATTCAAATATTTTTTGTAATTATATATGTAGAGGTATATTTTGAAAAAATTAAATTGACACTACCTATTAGGCCTGGACTCGGGCCGGTTCGGGCCCGGTTCGGGCCTGGGCCCGGCCGGGCCTCGGGCCAGGAAATGGGAGGCCCGGGCCCGAACCGCCGGTGGCCGGTTCCGGGCCAAACCGGGCCGGGCCGGGCCGGGCCGAACCGGCCCACTTAATTTTTTTTTTTTTTGTTCTCCTATTTAATCCCCTACCCCTCCCCCTCAACCCCAAATCACCCCAAACCACCTAAAATGGCCCAAAATACCTATTCCAACCCAAAACTTTAAAAAAATTTCAAAAAAAAAAAAAAAATTTAAATCCGGCCCGGACCGGGCCCGAACCGGCCGGGCCGGTTCACCATTTGGAAGGCCCGGGCCCGGAACCGGGAACCACCGGGCCGGTTCGACCCGAACCGCCGGTGGACCGGGCCACCGGGCCGGGCCGGTTGCTACAGTGGCCGGGCCGGGCCGGTTCCGGGTCGGGCCGCCCGGGCCGAGTCCAGGCCTACTACCTATATATAAACAGAATGAGGGTCAAAGTATAACATATACTCCGGTAGTCCGGTATGAAATAATTACATATTTATAACTAAAATAAAAATTATTTACAAAAAATGTGACCTGTTAAGTACAATTACTATATACGAAGTATATTAGTAACGTTAGTCATAATAATTTATGTTTAAACATGGAAGGCCAACACACCTAAGTCGGTGGGGCAAATGTCAGAGAACATTTACTAAATTTTATTAATAATGTAAAATAAATACAAAATGTGAGGGGGCTAGACCAAAAATCTCCCTTTGGGTGGTATACATCCACACAAATACATCAAACAGAAATTAAAAAAAAAAGGTATTGGGCGACTAGGCCTGACCCAATATAAAACAATTAATTATTAAATCTTTAAATCTATGTATTCAACAAAAATAGTTTTAGTCCTGTAATTTTTTTTAAAAAATTCTAAATCCATGTATTCAACTAAAATAAATTTACATGTAGTAAAGTCTAGTCATGATTAATACTTTTTACTCATTTTCAATTACTGATGCACTAGATTATTTATTCAAGTCAAAGAAAATGATTCTTTCATATGAGAACCATCTAGTATCTACTTAATACTTAATGAATTAATTATGGTAGTGTTACTTGATCTTTAGCTATCATAAAAATGGTTATTGATATAGTGTTAGAGAGTACCAATAGATGAGAAAATTACACAATATATTGAAGGGGACATAATTTTAGACAATACCAAAACTATCACCGATTATCAATAGTAACACAAACTGTAGAAATAATCAATTCATACCCCACTATACATACAAATATGTATAATTTATACATAATTTCATATATGTATATATATACACATATAAATAATACAGAGTGATTTCTGACATCAAATCCGGCTATTGTACCTATTGTATAATTATCAATAAATTATTTTCAATTTCATTTTCAAAGTAATATGTAGTTTAAAAATTGATAAGTTTCACCATCTATTTTCCTTTATTTAGGTCATTTCCATGCGGGGTCTACGGCGGTTTATGATTGAATAAAACCAATCATCCAAAAAGGAAAAACACATGCCCTATATTCATAATGCGCATTGGATTTACAATTGAAGATGAAGATCTTTTAAAGTCTCCCCATTCATCTCAGAAGTTGATTTTGGAGGCATTGAGTACATTTGGGTGTGAGTAGATTCTAAAAGTGCATTATTATACTACGTATACCTTAAAAAAAGGATGACACACCATCCCTGAGGGCTCCCCCAACACCGACCGGACAGCACGATGGAAGGATGTAAGTTGGACTATAATCACAACCTGATAGATAGAGAGTGGGGCTCCGTCCCCAGTACTTGCAGAGGCCCTATGCATTTTTCAGCATACTAACCCCTTATCGCAGTTGTCGGGGTTCGAACCCGAGACCTAACCCTTGTGGCACTCTCTCGCTACCAGTTGAGCTACGCCCACCGGTTACTACGTATACCTTAATGGGCACACGTAGCCTTCCTTTTCCAGCCATTATTTTGTCATTTGTGTGGTTGGCAGCTTCCATCTATTCCCCCTTCCAACTTCTTTATCTCGATCGTCAATTACCTTTGAGTCACTAACCCACAATCTTGTACGTATGTATTTGGGTGTTGAAGTAGTTTTGCGGCGTACAAGGATCATTTGAGGCCATGAAGCAATTAATGTGTGTCTGTGCATGCGTGTCTGGACTAGTTTCAAATTAATTTATAGTGTAATGTTGCATCAAAACGCGAAAATCATGAGTAAACGGAAAACATCAATTTTGCGCAAAAAACTCTTGTTTGGAGAGTTCGCAAAAGAGTTTATGTAGAGTTTCTAAAATAGAAACGTACGCTTTTCCGAAATTTCCGTGCTACATAGCTTATTGTTGATCCAAATTGCAAAATGTCTCCAAAATATAAGAACAAAGAAAACATAGGATATTATTTGCCGAATTCGGTATATATTTTGTATTCATTTTGCACTTGATTATGTGCTCTAATAAGTCAAATTTTATTTGCAGCCAATTTAGATCGATTTATTATAAGAATTTTATTAATCTAAAATTTGAAAGATAAATGAACTACGAAAACTAAAAGATGAAACAAGTCGGTATATAGAGTTTGAATGGTTGAATAGTACTGTACTTCATTCGCTCTCTATAATTGTCTTATTTTCCTTTTTTTGATGCTCTCTATAATTGTCCTATTTTCCTTTTTTTGATGTCCCCCTATTACTCTAATTCATTCTTACTTTATTAACTCATTATCAGCCACGTAATTCTACTTTTCTTAGAAACCACATCACTCTCTTCCGTCCCAATATTAGGGGGAAGGAAGTAGTATCAATCTAAGATCTCAATTAACATAAATTTTACTATTTTTTTTAATTTAATGTTTAAATATCATTTAGTTTTATCAAACTAATAAAATTTTGTGAATAAAACTTGATAAAAAAGTTAAATAAATCAAAACCAGTGGGCTTTTAGGTTATTGACGGATAGTTTTTAATCATTCAGATTTAATACCGATACATTTCATCTTTTAGATCTCGAATTGATACGATAATTTTCATAATATTATGACAAAACTTATGTTTTTATAAATAAATTTGATTTCATTAATATTTCTGAAAAAACTCCAAAAATTGTCATTATTCCATCTACTTTTTTTATTATACTCCATGTTAGGATGTTTTCTTTTGGACTGTTTTCAGTCCCAGACCAGACCAAATATAAAATACACAGAGACCAGACGTATGCTAGATGAGACCAACTACTTTCAATCCAAAAGAAAACGTCATTACTCCCGGTAGAAGGCTATAAGCTAAGAAGGAATGCCTATATTTTTGTGGGACCTTTAAACCGGATGAAAGGGACATCGCAGGACTAGCTGAACTGTGAGTCTGTGAACCTGGGCTGAGCTTTTAGCTTAGCTCCTTGAGGCCATGGCCTTAGCCGCTCGCTCAGTGTTCCGCTTGGCTTCATTGCCGCCTTCCGCCACCTCCGTCGCCGCTACCAATACGCTTCAAGAAATTGCTTCCAACCAACCTGGAGGTCAGTAGCAATTTAATTTCTCAAATTAATTACCTTTCCTTCAGCTATGCTCCTCATTTTATGTACACGTAACAACAGCAACAGTAATAACAACAATAATGGTGATGATAAAGAAATGCATTACTAGTAGTACCTAATTGTTGTCAGGTGTGGCGAAGGTTGTATTGAAGAAGGGAAAGACCCAACTTTTCGGTAGGGGTGGAAGCTCAATGGTTTACAGCGGCGCTGTTGACAGAATTATTGGTCGACCGCCGCCCAAGACGGGAGATGTCGTCCTCGTGGCTGATGGAACACAGAAACCAATTGGTTGGGGCTTTTACAACTCTGTCTCCATGTTTTGTGTTCGCCTCATGCAGCTAGAGGATGAAGCCTCAAGGTTTCTTCTCCTCCTCCCTTTTCCACGCCTCAACTCATCCATTAACCAATTCATTCATTCATAGCCCATTTGTGACACTAAATTGGAGGAATTTGCTGATTCTATTGAAATTTATTAAGTTCGACTTAAGCGGCTGAATCCGCGGAATAATGAAAAAATTATAATTAAAACATACTTCGTATTTTGTTAATAAAATAAAGAAAAATATATAAGAAAAATAGCTAAAATGGTTTTTTATAGGAACTTTTACCCAGAAAAGTAACTTTAATCTTATTTTGATTATTAGACATTTTAAAGCACGAAAATAAGGCGAATCAAAAGTAACATGTTTGGTGAAAATGTTGGTTGGTAAGACAGACACTATGTTGGTTGGTAAAACTGAAAACAAAGGTCACCAAACAGGCTCTCACTCACACATTCGTTCATTCATTTCAGTTTTGGGTGTTATTTTGAACTCACTCAAGTGACTTAACAGAGAACTCTCCTGTGCACTAAACGTTGAGGAACTGCTAGAAACCAGAATTTTTGCTGCTGCTCAGCTGCGCAACACTTTAGGCCTGCCTTCTCTCAAAACAAATGCATACCGTCTCATCAATAGTGAAGGGGATAGGTGCGTTTCTTTTACTTCATTATTATTACCTTTTTTTCAAATACTTCAACTCATTTACTATTACTGTTTAACTACCTCGAGTAGCAGCAGAAGTAACTCATTCTATATTCTTGTATCTCATCTTTAAAGATAAAAGTAAAACAAATGAGAAGTAAGTATTGATTTAATTACCTACCCTTGTCTATCTTATTTGCCTTGCATGCTACAGACTGTCAGGTCTAATTGTTGATATCTTTGGAGATATAGCTGTTGTTGCTTCATCAGCTGCTTGGGTGGAGAAGTACCGGCCGCTGGTAGAGTCTTGCATCAGTCGGATCAATGAAGTTAAACACATAAGCTGGAGACCATCGGTTGAAATCCTCAAGGAAGAAGGCCTGGATTATTCTAGTTCAACTGTTGTAGATCTTGTACGTCCTCCACCGGAAAGGGTAAAAGTAAGACCTTTTGGCTATCTAAGATTACATCGCTGTTATGCATGTCTTGGCTATTTGGTTGGAAAGCTAAGAAGCACACAAAATTCTCACGGCTCGACAGTGTGTCGCAAACTTCAAATTCTGTTCCATGGCAGTTTTTGTAATTAAGAAGAATTGTGAAACGGATTAATTAGCGTTTTGGAAACTTTGATATATAGTGTTTGTATAACGTTTTAATCGATTTATACGAGACTTATTCCTAAACGCGGTCTTTGTGATACTTCATAACTCAATGCATTACTAGAAATCTATTGTATTTTATGTTTAATTATGTAGTACTACCTCCGTCCCACTAATATTGGGACAGAAGGGGATGACACAGTTATTAAGAAAAGCGGGTTTATGTGGTTGATATTAATTGATAAAGTAAGAATAAAATAAGAATGATTTAGAGTCACAGAAATTTTACCAAATTTGGTGTTAGACAATTTTAGTGGGATTTCCCGAAAAGGTAGAATGAGACAATATTAGCGGTACGGAGGGAGTAATATTTAATAATTTCTATATCTGAACATGTAGACTATATTTATTATTGGTTATTAAACATAGTTATATGAAAAAATGGACATATGTGTATATGAAAAAGCATGTCTACATAACATGTGAAAAACATTCATAAATGTATCGATATATTCGTGTTTATGAGCTACTTAGCTGGAGAGTCCACAACTCATGACTTCTGGTGATGCTTCTGAATGTTTATAAAAATCTTATGGGTGTATTATAACCTTCTAGTCTCTGTGCTGTTTAGGTCATGGAAAATGGCATTTCCTATATGGTATCAATGGATGGCCAAAAGACGGGCTTTTATGCTGATCAGCGTGATAACCGTTGGTTCATTTCTACCATTTCTGAAGGTCGTAGGGTTCTTGACATTTGCTGCTACACTGGAGGTTTTGCTCTTAATGCCACGTTTGGGGGTGCATCAGATGTCACTGGTACTACCACATACGTAGTATATACTTCATATTATCTTTTTGGCTCTTCTTAATATGCCTGATTTTGTATAAATATCATTCCATTTACAATGACATAACATATTCCATTTTAGTACCTTGTTCTCTAACTTGTAAATGCCCCTTTTTACTACCTTGTTCTCTAAACAAGGACCATTGTTTGGGATAAGCATATAACAACCAATTTTTCAAATCAAACATATTAATCCTGATATGCTTTCATCAAACCATGAACCGCTAATCTCAGAAATGGAGATTGTAACTTTGTGGACACTTGATCTGAGATGCATGGGTTTAGACCTTGTCAAGTTATTCCATGGTGTTAAAGTGGATATCCCTGGGGCAAGATTCATGCATCGCAGATGCATTAAGTCTAAAAGTTTTGACTGATTATGCATGATATGGGAGCTTGTTAAGACTTGCAATAGGATATTAGGATTCATTACTAGTTTTTTGTAATTAGAATTATGATTTTACTTTTTGTACTCTGAATTGTAATAATAGCATTCAAGCCCATAGGTATGTTTACTAGCCACACAATCTCCATAGACAGACACAGTGCCTGTCTTTGGTCCTGGGCGTTTGATCTGTGATCGACCGGCCCTCTGTTGGTGGTGGGATTTTAATGAATGATCTAAGCTAATACTGTCGCCAGCTACTTGTTCGCATTTTCCAAGGTGTTGATTCGTCATTGCCTGCACTGGAAGTCGCCAAAGAGAACATTGATTTGAATAGGATGGCTTCTAGAAGGATTTCATTTGTGAGACAAGATGCAAGCGAGTTTATGAAGAATGCACTTTCTAAACATGAAAAATGGGACATAGTCGTTTTGGACCCTCCTAAATTAGCACCTAGGAAAAAGGTATGTGTCATTCGATTGTCCTTTTGCCTGCCTTCTCCGAAACGTTTGTGTTTTGAACAGCATATGTTTGTGGTCTCTGCTGGTGCCCAATACTTGAACCAGGTTCTAAAAAGTGCATCTGGAATGTATAGCAATCTCAACTCACTTGCTATGTTGTTAACAAAGAGAGGAGGTCTACTCATGACTTGCTCCTGCTCTGGAGCAATGACACAAAGTGGCATGTTCCTAGAGATTCTTCAGGCAAGTTCTTCTCTCTCACGAGTCATGACCCAACTCTGATAAAATGCATGGTTTTTGAATGAGTATTTTAAAAAGAAAACAGCAAATAGAAAAACTAATTGTGTGACTACTGGTGATAGGGCGCTGCAGCAAAGGTTGGGAAGAAAATCACAGTGGTGCGCAAGGCAGGAGCAGCGTGTGATCATCCTCTGGATCCCGCATATCCGGAAGGAGAATATCTTACCAATATCTTGCTTAGGGTCGTATAGGTTTCACTGCCCCGTTATTTACTATCAGTCTATCATAGAGAATACTGAACCTCATTTCAGCGCACAGCATATTTCGTTTCAATCTCTCTACAGTGTTGAGAATCAACAAAAACGAAATATGACATTTCAACAACAAACAGAGTCGGGATTTCCATGGCTTCTAGTTCACTAACAAATTTAGGGCTTGTTTACTAACAGAGATATTTTCCTGTTTTCTACTTCTGTTTTTCGTTCTCCAATTTTCTGTTTTTATTTTTCAGTTTTTCTATCTCCAATTTTCTGTTTCTATTTTTTAGTTTTCCATTTTCAAATCTGAAAACATTTTCATCAATTTTTTCACTCAGTTCTCCAATTCTACACCCTTGACCCCTACCTTTACCACGTTCTTACACTCTACCCATACTCCCCCACAACCCTTCATACCTACTCGTAGGGGTCGGGGTAGGAAAGTTATGGGTAGGGTAAGGGGTATGGTCGGGGTGGGGTGGTAAGGTCTAGGGTAGGGGGTTGGGTGGGGGTAGTTGGTGGGTTAGGGTCGTGGTTAGGGGTAATGGTGGGGTAGTGGGTAGGGTTTGTGGTAAGGTAGAGGTAGGGTATGGAGTTGGGATAGGATGGCGGTGGGGCCGGGACCAGGGTGGGGCTGAGGTAGGGAAGGGGTAGGGGGTAGGATGGCGGTAAGGGTGGGGTAGTGGGTAGGGTTGGGGTAGTGGGATAGGATGGCGATAGGGTGGGCCCGGGATCTGGGTGGGGCCGAGGTAGGGGAAGGGTAGGGTGGGGGGGTAGGATGGTGGTGGGGTGGGGCCGAGGTAGGGGCATGTGGTAAAGGGTAATATACGGGTGGGGGTAGGGTAGGGTGGGTCGGGGTGGGTTCGAGGTGGTAGGGGGTGGCGGTAGGGTAGGGTGGATCGGGGTGGGGCCGAGGTAGGGGAAGGGTAGGGTGGGGGTAGGATGGTGGTAGGATGGCGGAAGCGTGGGGGTAGGATGGCGGTAAGAGGGTGGGGGGTAGGATGGCGGTGGGGCCGAGGTAGGGGCATGTGGTAAGGGGTAAGGGGTAATATGCAGGTGGGGGTAGAGTAGGTTGGGTCGGGGTGGGGTCGAGGTGGTAGGGGGGTGGCGGTAGGGTAGGGTGGATCAGGGTGGGGCCGGGGTGGGGTAGGGTCATTATAGGGAAAAATGGGTATGCGGGGTGGGGTTTGGTGGGTAAGGTAGGGTAGGGTAGGGGTAAGGGGTAAGGTACGAGGATGGAGGTACCGGAATGGAATCGACATCGGAGTGGGACCGGATCCACCACTAGGTGTAAATATGCAAATTCATTAGAGCGGCAATGTACCATCTGCGTTTTCTAAATTTGAAAAACTAGTAAAAGTCACTTCTCCAAATCATTAAGGAAAAGAGAGTCATGTCTCATTTTTTCCGTTTTGGAAAACGATTGGTAAACGCGTTTTTCTTTTTTCCTTTCTCTAGTTTTCCAGAAATTTCTTTGGTAAACATGTTTCCTGTTTTTTATTAAACTGGAAAACTGGAAAATATTTCTGATAGTAAACAGGCCCTTAGTGTTTTCACCCATTAAGGAAAAGAGAGACATGTCTTATTTTTTCCGTTTTGGAAAACGATCGGTAAACGCGTTTTTCTTTTTTCCTTTCTCTAGTTTTCCAGGAATTTCTTTGGTAAACACGTTTCTTGTTTTATATTAAATTGGAAAACTGGAAAATATTTCTCTTAGTAAACAGGCCCTTAATGTTTCCACCCAGCCAGCTAGTGGTAGAAAGCACAGGTCTCTTCTTTCCATTGGAACGGTAAGGACATGTTTACGAGTAGTAAATGGTGTTTATTAAGATATGTGTTAGTAAACGGTGTTTATTAAGATATGTGTTAGTAAACGGAGCATAAAATAAGGAAAGTTATAAGCATATGTTTACTAGATATGATTTAAAATACCGTTTATCATTAAAATGTTCAAAATAATCATATACTAGTAAATTACGGACTCACACACATTCATATATACACAGGTATATATAATATAATAAAATATAATGCAATATAATTTAATGTAATGTTTTTTTCCAAAGAAATAACATAAATTTATTGAAAAATACGCCAATGAAAAACACGATCCAACCGAATAAGAAGTCCCTCTTGTCGAAGATAGAAACCAACTGCCAAGGTCTTCAATAATACCAAGATACTAGTTGAAATCACCCATTCACAAACAAAAATAGTCATAACTAAACATCCCTATGAAGAAACAATCGCAAAATTCTGAGGTAAATCTAACCCTTGATCTTGTTTTTTAGCTTGAAGTGGGGCGCTTCATCTAAGATGAAGTCGAGTAGCAGTTTTGTAGTTAGGTCACTTATCCGAGAAAGCGGCTCCTGATCTGAATCACATCTCAAAGACTCCTCATCCGAAATATCATCAATATCAAATTGAGAACTACACTTAATTATTTTTTGCTTACTTTACTCATGGAATGAGGCTTGAATCAATGTTACTAGCATGACGTTCTCCCCATTACGCTTATCCTTCCTTGTAGGCCTGGGACTTGGAACCGTAAAACCGGGAAAATCGATCCGTATCGAACCGAATTTTCCGGTTCGGTTCCTATAGTATTTGTTCGGTTCGGTTCCGGTTCCTAGGCAGGAACCGAACTTCGTACACATTGCTCGAGTAATTTCATTTGAGGTGCTTCTTGGTGGAATTTTTTGATGAAATTTTGTGAGCTTTTTTCCCATGAAATATAGATTATGTACACCAAATTTGAGCATAAAATTGAATCGGTAAGTTAGTTAAATAAATTATTGAAAAACACTACGCTAAAATATATATATAAAACGCAATGTTTTTCAATATTTTATTTAACTCACTTCCCGATTGACTTTTATGCTGAAATTTGGTGGATATTATCTACACTTAATGTAGAACATGCTCACAAAATCTCATTAAAAAATTCTAGCCGGAAGCACCTCAAATGGATGTGGTCAGACGGCGTTCCGAGCAAAAAACTCTTGTCAGGAATATTTGTCTTGCATAATATACCTTACATATTGTGGAACAGACAAATCTAAGTAGTTATTTACTACTTTAGTCCAATTTTATATTTATTGCTTTTTTTTTAAATTGTATTTGTTATTTGAGTTTATCTAAAAAGTGAATTAATATTCTGTTGATTACGTTGTTATTTGTTCATAGTAAATTACTAATATTACCGGTCAATTGATTACTACATACTTTTTACTTATGGGGCATTACTAGTAGAAAATTTTATTTTGAGGTTGATCTACCTATTATTGAATGTGTATCTTGGAGCTATTAAACTTTTTTGCTTGACAGTTGATGCCTATTTTATAATAGCTCATAATATAGAGACACCTTTGTAATTATTTGACTCTTGGTTTATTATAAATACATCTCTAGCACACCCTAATAGGGTGAGCAATGAGTGAGCAATTATTCCACAATTACTATTGCATATGATATCAGAGCCTAGGTTAACCTAGAGCTTCCGCATCGTCAATTTTTTTAAACTTGACTATTATTACTATGGCATATTTTAAACTTTACTATTACTATTGCATATTTTAAACTTTTATGTTTTTGCTATGTTTAAATTTAATGTTTGCACTTGGATATTTTTGTGATATTTGAACATTGGAATATCACGTATATTGATGTAATGGTTTGAAATTTGATTTTTTTTGTAACTGAAGGTAAAAATGTGTTCATTTTAGGAGGATAATAAATTTTTACAAGGAACCGAAAAAAAGTAAGAACCGGACCCAATTTAATTAGAATCAAACCGAATTTAACAACTAAATTTTTAAATTTTTAAATAGAACCGAACTTAATTTAATGCCTTCAAGTATTGAACACGACACTGAACACGACATTTCATAAATAAAATGTCATTAAAATGGGTTTAATTTTTTAAGTGAAATATTCAGTTTGAAAATTATAATAAAGAAAAATCAGATGTTGTTTTTAGAAATAAATGAATCGAAATTAAGCAAAAAAATCAGATTTAAAATCAAAAGATCAAAATTCAGATTAAAAATAAAAAATCAAGATTCAAAGTTCCAGATCTAAGTTTTCAGAAAAACGAAATTTAAGTTTTGATGAGCTCATCGAAATCAAGATTCAAAGTTTTCAGCTCATCGAAATTTAAGTTTTGATGAGCTGCTAGTTTTTATACTTCAATCAGACAACATGGACCGGCCGAAGTGGGAAGGGAAGGTAACAGCAAGGCTAGTAAAGGTCTCCGCCGACCAAATATGGCCGCTTTTCCAAGACTTCTTTGGCCTAAACAAATGGTTCCCCGGCCTCTCGATTTGCAACGGCATTCACGGGACCAACGGCACGCCCGGCTGCGTCCGTCACTGCACCGGCTTCTCCATCCCATCTGCCAACGGCGGCATCTCTGTCCCTGGCTGGTCCCACGAAAGGCTAACGGCCATTGATCCCGTCAATAAGAGCTTCAGCTATGAGATGGTGGACTCTAACATTGGATTCAAGTCCTATGTTTCTACGGTGAAGATTCTTCCCGACGGCGGCGGCGAGGGCTGCGTGGTAGAGTGGCGGTTCTCGGTGGATCCAGTGGCGGGGATGACATTGGAGGATCTAGTCAAGAAGTACAATGTTGGGCTCCAGCTCATGACGAAAAAGATGGAGGAGTCTTTTGAGATTTCATAGACTTGACTTCTGGTTTGCTGATTTTGGTTCTGTCAATTAAACTTCATTTTGCCTTCTCTGTTCTCACAGAATTCCTAATAAATTGAGTGAATTAAAATATACGTAGATGTTTATAATGGTTTGTGTTAAAGAAAGAGATTGTTTATGTTATATGTTTGGTACAACAAGCTAAAACGGGAGGTTAATGTCTGAAATATGATCTATTGTCTGGAACAGAGATTATTGTCTGGAACTGAATTTGAAAGTGTTGAATCTGAATTGCTAGCTGAACAGAGTAAATCTGTTTGGCATAAAGAGCTGAACAAGTGCAGGGATAATATGAAATTTCCATTCGAGTATACCGTACAAAGTAAAAGACCATAAATTTTCCTTATGAAAATATGATTCTTAACATATACCATGACAATTTGGCTCTGTTTCTCAGCTTGTGTGCAGGGGCGCACTGGGAGAAAAGAGGAGGCCTGGAGCATACCTCTCTCTTTGTGCAGAGCTTGCAATTGGTTTCTAAAAGACCAAGCAATTTCATTTTTTGAGGAAAAACAATTTTATTAATGGAAAGATGCAAAATTACAATAAAAAATCAGACTTTGATTATTCTGTCATGGAGATCGTATCAATACTGTGAAGAAGCTTGTGAACAACGACTATGCTTAAACAAATCATGATAAGGGAGCCATTGACACATATCAATTGCAGAACGAATGGGTGAAGCTAGAACTCTGTGTCGATCAATAAGCCTGGGATGCGCTGCAATGAAGAAGGAATTATGGAGAAACTAATATATGTATGCGTGCCTAAAGGAGTAAAGGGTCAGTTTAGTCCTTGAAGTTGCAAAAAAGGCGTCAAATAAGTCCTTATATAGAAGATTCTGTCCGGACGTGCCATTTGAGGTGGGTCCCGGTGGAATTTTGTGATAATTTTTTTTGAGCATCTTATTCATTAAGTCTAGTTTACTCATACCAAATTTCAGCTAAAAATTCAATCGGGAAGACATTCAAATGAATTCTTGAAGATAACAGCGCTTTTTACGGCACAGTTATCTTCAAGAATTCATTTGAATGTCTTCCCGATTGAATATTTATCTGAAATTTGGTATGAGTAAACTAGACTTAATGAATAAGATGTTCAAAAAATTTCATCAAAAAATTCCACCGGGACCCACCTCAAATGGCACGTCCGGACAGAATCTTCTATATAAGGACTTATTTGACCCCTTTTTTGCAACTTCGAGGACCAAACTGACCCTTATCCCGTGCCTAAAGTGAGGGATATAACGGGAACGTGAAGTCTGGAATCGACCGGTTGATTATAAAGTTGCCCATGGAAAGGTTCCATCTCAGCCCAGTTTTTCTAGCTCAAGCCCGCTTCAGCCTCTCAAACAAACGAGTCTACTTTATTCCTATTTGACTGGATTTTATAGATTTCAGTCCTTTTTAGCTGAATTGGCATGCCGAACATAGCCTACCTCCGTTCCTAAAAATCCTTCCCGGGTTGACTTGACACGTTTATTAAGAAAGTGGAATAAAGTGGAAATGTATGATTGTGGTTTTGTAAGAAAAAAGGTAAAATGAATGTGAGCCACACAAATTGTCCAAAAAGAGAAAGAGAGAAGTACTTTTGGGAACGGCCCAAAAAGGAAAGTGAGAAGTATTTTTGGGAACAGAGGGAGTACTACATAACATACATTTGTATTCAAGGTGTTTATGCTATATTCTAAAAGACGCCAGGCAATAGTCAGGCGTCAGCCCAACGCTCAATGCCTAGATGCTTAGGCGGGGGACTAGTCGAAGACATAAAAATTATTGTTTTATCTATATTTTTTGCATAAATATGACTAGTAATGTCGTATTTGTGTTTGTGTATAAAAATATATATACACACGCACATTAACATGCATGAATGATAGAGTTTTTACATTTACCAATATAATATATCTATTCACTTAAGATTAAAAGGTATAGTTTTTATCTTGAACACAACTAGTAGTTTTCTTCATATGCGGTGTTAACGTCAAAGGTACATATATCTGGATACCAAAAAAATGATCAATGAATCTAGATGCCTAGGCAGCCGATTAAGTACTCTAGGCGATCAATTAAACACCCTAAGCGGCCGACTAATTCATCTAGGCATCAAATCAGTTACTCGGAACGCCTAGACTAAAATCAAGATGCCCAACCACCACCTAGCTCCTAGAGTCCTAGGCAGGGACTAGTCGGCACCTAGAGTGATTTTAAGAATAATGGTTATCATTGAATTAATTATATCAAATTGATTTTTATATTTGCAAATTGCTATTACACCAAAAGATCTGAATGAATGGGTACTGTTGTAGTATTGTTGAGTGTTGACAGACCCTGAGGCTCATAATTATCCACTCTCAAAGAAAATTACATACTACGTATCAGTTAAGTGTTTTTTGATCAATAAAGCATAACTATCCACGTCGTTTTATTAATTTAATTGATAACAACTAGCCTCAACTGCTTACTTTTTGTTAACAAGAACACAGAAGTACACTCTTTTGGCCATTATTTTGTCAACTTAGTTAACAAGTTAACAACTAGCCTCAACTGCTATATACGGAGAACAGAACATTAACACGTTAATGTTGAGGCAATTTACAGTTGAGGCAATTTACATTACAAATCGTTATTTACGGCAGAGTTTGACAATGTTAGTGTACTAATACGTTAACATTAATACAACACATTTACAACACATTAAGAAAAACACTAACTAAAGCAGTATTGCAACAGACTCATGCAATTTTTGTTGCAAATCGATATTTACAACAGAGTTTGACCGATTTGCAACATCATTTTGTCCATTGCAAAATCGCAATTATATTGTAGTGATAAATAAAAACTAATGCAACACTATTACATGAATTTAAGAAAAATACAGACCATCTAGCTGATTCTATGGTTCAACAGCCTAACCATCATAAGATGTCCTGCAAAATGGATGGTAAGATGAGGAAGGGCCGTCCCTTTTGCTTCAGTGCATGATATTTGCAGAGAGCAGAACCAGCTACCCTCCATGCAAAACTGCATTTCTTTATATCATTGAATCTCTTTGCATAATCATAACATACATTATAGATGGCCAAAGCTTCATTAAAGATTTCGTCAATCTTTCGCGTGCTCTCTTCAAAATCAGAAGCATCATATAGCAACTGCATCATTAAAAAATAAGTAGATTCAAATAGGGACAGCCTATGAATTAGAATATACTACGTAGTAGTCTCTCCATCTCACAACGCAAGAAATATTTGAGTTTGACACAAGTTTTAAGAATATAAAGGAAGGATATTGTTGTTATTTTATTATCTGTTATGTTCTAAGAGGAAGAAAAAGTAGTACTACCTCCGTCCCATTTAATGGTTCCCATTGTAAAATGACATTGTTATTTAGACAATATTTGAATAAGGTTATTCGCGTATATTTTGGGAAATAGTTTTGATGGGTATATAATACAATGGGGTCATTAAAGACAACCATGATGTTATAGATGTATTATTTTTAATATTTGATGATTAAATTATCATTTAAAAGTGTTAATTGTTTTATAAAAAAGAAATGAGAACCTTTATATATGGGACATCCAAAAAAGGAAAGTGGGAACATTTGAGTAGCACTGAGGGAGTACATGTTATGAAAAAGGAAAGAGTGAAATGATCGATAAAAGCATAAAGTGTGAAAGAAAAAACTTCGATTAAATAGGGTTCAAATTTTTGAAACGGACAAAAAAGGAAAGCTTACTGAACAAAATGGGTACAGAGAGAGAGAGAGAGCAAAGAAAAGAAAAATATTAGAGTAGAGAGAGGGCATTTGGACATCAAACCTGCTTGTATTTCTTGATTACATCATTTGCAGCAACATTTCTTACTTCAGAGCCACCAGGTCCACAATTCATGGCCTCTGTCATTTCTGGTAAATAATGTTTATGATATCTCTCCCCCCAAAGGATCATACATGCGTCTGGAACTTCAACATCAAAACATGGCAATTTCCAAACCTCTACAGTTATAGAAACATTGGTATACATATAATTAATCTATCAAAAGCGCGAAAATGGATAGCCCTAAGCTTATATGATCAAATGTACAACTATGTCATTATGAATCAACAGCTTTGTTTTTAGATATTTTGGTCAGTTAAGGATGAACTCGTTAAAATTTTGAAATGGGAGCCTCCTCTACAATAGTTGTAGAACTTGAGTTTAGCTTTAGAATGACACAAATAAGAGATCTGCTCTCACCTATTCGAGAGTTCTCTTCGGGCTTGGATGACTCTCTGTAGTTGTAAAGCTTACCAAGAACAGAGGTAGAGTCATAACTAGGTTTCCTCTCCATGTAATGAGGATACTTTTCTGGCTTCAATCCAGAAGGGATGTTAACCTATCTCATAAGAGTAAAAAATATCTGAAACTGGTTCACAAATGAAATTACGCACCAACTTACACTTAACCATATAAGCAGCATCAGCATTTTTAGAAATACTAGAAAAACAAGTGCAGATGATTAAACTCCCTCATTCCCAAACATATTATCCCATTTTCCATTGTGGGGAGTCCCATTTTTATTTCATCATTTCCTAATATTATAAAAATGAATAGACGAAATTACTGATGCTCTTTCCTAACTTATAACATTACCGAATTGAGTAGACCAATATAATGATGCATTTTTCAAATATTTGTTGCCAAAACGACGAGACGGTGTCTTTGGGATGAAGGGAGTATACGGTAGCTAGAAAATAAATTAGCGGTTAATACCGTAAATAAATACAGTTGGGGGTTGGGCGGGTTAAGAAAACTTAACCTTCTTTCCAGTTTTGGGGTGCATCTAATGCTTCATAGTATAAGTCAATTAAGTGAAGCATCTTTCTTCTCAATTCAACCTTCTCATGTGTATAGTTATTATTGCCCAATGTCAAAAACCGATCCATACATGCTAGCCAACTATCTGCTGCCAGTGCCATATTGTTTCTGAAGAGCAGAGAAGTATGAAGAAATTTTATGAATAAGTCAAAATTGAAAGGTTCAGTTTTGAGATCATGATTTCTACTGTAAGAAGAAACTAATACACGCTGACAGCTTTTATCTGTCATGATACTAGTGCATTCATTTTTCTTTCTTGCGGAGAAAAGGAAATAGAAAACAAAAGCAACCTTAGATGAGAAAGGCCTCCGGTTACCTCCACTATTATTAAGTTTGGTCTAGCAAGAAATTTAAATACAGCTAAATAAAACACATGCATAATGCACCTAACTAATATACTGATCACTTCGATAATGTATATTAAAGTTACAAATTGCTATGGTACCTGTTCTCTTTATCGTTGCAGTCATATAAACTTACTAACCAAACATTAAAATCAACAGAACATTGTAAGAAAAAATACTTGCTTCAAGCCACCTCTCTGAAAGATGTTTAATACTTTATCTTCCCGTTTTGTAAGATACACTTCTCATTTTGGTTTGTTCCAGAACTATGAACACTTTCCAAATTTGAAATTTAATAATTTTTTACTTTCTCACTTTATCCTTTTATCTATCTTTTCACCTTACTTTCTGTCTACCCAAACTACTTTTTCTTCTTTTTTTTGGGGGGGGGGGGGGGGGGGGGGGGTTACGATTGTAAAATAACACCTATCCGGCTATCCCCTTTATCTGCTTAAAACCGCGCCAAATCCAAAAGTATCTTACGTTATGAAAAGGAGGGGGTATCTCAAATTTGTGATGTTCTTCTATTCTACACTGGTATATGCAAGTTATGAGAAATTATGAAACATGCCCTTCTTTTCTCTTAAAAATATTTGAAGAAGTTCATACTACTTTTTCTTCTTTTGGGTGGCTTATGATTGAAAGTTAACAACCATTCCCTTTAATTTCTTAAAACCGCACCAAATCCAAAAGTATCTTACATTATAGAGCACAGGGAGTATCTTGAATTTGTGATGTTCTTCTACAATGCTATATGCAAGTTATGAGAAATTATGAAACATACCCTGACTTCTTTCCTTCTAAAAATATTCGAAGAAGTTCATACTCCAACTCACTAGGTGTGAACTCAGATGGCCTTCTACTGACTGCTTTTGGTATTACATAGGCACGACTCCAAGGCTCACTTACTTTATAGTAATTCAAGAGCTGCAAATTCCAAATTTAATACTTAGACAAAGATAAATAAGGTATGATTATGACTACAATGTATACTTTGGTCCCTACAAATATATAGCACTTTCATTTTCAAGTCCATGCGTTTTTTAGTTCTTTGTCCCTGCAAATTACATTTATTGTAAGTCCCTTTCTGAATCTGCATCAGTCTTGGTTTTCTTTAAACTGATGTGGCTCATAAACTTCAGTTTTTCTTTTGAGTCAATTCCCTAAATAGGACTAAAAAGTGGCAAAATTGCACAAATAGGACTACATTTTTTAAATTCCCTTAATAGGACTATTTATGTGTGTTTGGACAAATATACCCTTGTAACTTGTAAAATGTTTTAATTAATAATAAAATCATAAAAAAATTTATAAAAATCGAAAAAAATACTAAAAATCGTAAAAAAATAAAAGAAAATTAATAAAAAATATTTTTAAAAAAAATAAAAAAAATATTTAAAAAAAAAATAAAAAAAATAAAAAAAATCATAAAATTAAAAAAAAAGCATTACCACCCCTGCCACCCCCCAGCACCACCAACTCCCATCACCGGAGAAAAATATGCCAACATTTTAAATAATGCCATAATGATGGCATATTCAATGAAAATGTTGGCATATTGAAGAGTAATTATGCCATCTTTTTGGCATTTTCAGAAAAATATGACATTTTTTTTACCAAAAGTGGAAGAAATTTCACCAATCGGAGGTGGTGGTGCTGGGAGGCGGTGGGAAAGGTATCCATATTTTTTTTCATTTTTCATGGGTTTTTACTATTTTTTATTATTTTTTAAAAAAAATTAAAAAAATAAAAAATTAATTTTTTTATTTTATAAATGTTTTATAAATTTTTTATAATTTTTTTACGTTTTTAAAATATTTTTTACGGTTTTTATGATTTTATTATGAATTAAAGCATTTCATTATGAATTAATACTCTTAGGGGTATTTAGGGTAGAAAATCAATGTTTAGTCCTATTTAGGGAATTTTAAAAGTAGTAGTCCTATTTGTGCTTTTTAGGAACTCATTAGTCCTATTTAGGACAATTTCCGTTTTCTTTTCCAAATAACATTGTGGCATAAATTCAGTGTTGGAATCATGAGATTCATTTAGCTCTAACACCACGAGATAGTCTTATCCCAAGAGTTAATGAAAATTGACAGGGAAGGTTTCTTGTGTAGTTCTGTCAGCCACGTCAGTTTTTCATTAGGTAGAGGTCGACGAAGAGTTGGATACCAAATAAGCAAATTGTGCAAGTGGGTGGCAGAGGTGAAAAATAAATTAAAATTAAGTTTACAGTGACGGAAGGACTAAAAGCATATACTCCCTCCGTCCCAATTTGTTTTGCAAAGTCAACTTTTTTTGGTCAACTAACAATAAAAGTCAACCCTTCTTATGCATAATTAATTTAATTTTTAATAAATAAAATTTACATATTCATAAACTGCATCAAAATCTCTTCAAAGTTGTAAACTCCAAATTAGAATATAATTAAAAATTGGCATCCTAATTAAGTGAACAAAACGCAATTGTTTGACCAAGAAAAGTCAAATTTGCAAATCAATTCGGGACGGAGGTAGTATGACATATTTGCACTAAGAAAAAACATATTAAAGCCATTAAATAGAACATGAAACAAATCATATCCACTTCCTTCTTTGGATAATTAATACTTCTAGAAGTTTTAGAAAGATAAATTGATCTCAACCTGAGGATTCATTGAAACCCAATACATGTCACCGTCAAAATCACTGTTTGCAATTTCAGTTGCGACTGATATTGGCCCTTTTGTTGAGAAGAAGATAGCATATTTAGCGTTACCAACAATATGGTCCAGTTCTTGCACATATTTAGCATTCATTATGTGTATATCCCCAAAGTGAAGACCAGGACTTTTGTACACCAACACCTTCCCAGTAACATGACCATTTTCACTGCACATGTTTATTAAAATAGCCAATGAATTCACAAAACATTCTTTTAACTATTACTAGAAAACATAAAGACTTGCTCTCTATTTGCTTTCAGTCATGCCACAAGCAGAAATATAGCAGATGTATTATACTATTATATCCATTAACATTTGATCAATGCTTATTTACATGGTATATATATATCCATCTGATAGCAAGTTGCCTATCAATGTGTTAATCTATATGGTAAACTGCCATTCTAGAAGCCTTACAAAGTTCTAACCAGATCATGTAAGAACTATCTTGGCATGAAATCCTATTAAAAATAAATAGCATGCAGAGTTCCATATGAGAAAACTCATTTTTTCTTAGAGGCAGTGGAGTAAAACTGGAGGGGCCTCAGGGATGGGGTGTCATCCTTTTGGGAAGAGATTTTACTACGTACTTACAGGATAACACAAACTTCATCATGTTTTAGCATCCCTGTCGGATCAGCTGTCCCCATTAGGTAACAAGTGTTACTTATTGGAAGCTTTCCTCTTTTAATATGGTCTTTTTCCATGTTTGCCAGTCTGGATAAACAACTACGGAGATAAGGTTCACCCAAAGGCACCCCGGATGAGATAATCTTAGCGGTTGTGTACTCATAATCCATGTCTCCGTATTTCACAGCAGCTATTCAAAAAGAAGACAACAAAACAAAAAAATCATTCAGGTGTTTTCTTTCCAAACCTTGGTCTTTGTACCTTTTCAATGATTATCACTTTTTTAACATATGTATAAAAAGTAACTCTTTTAAAAATCGACTTCTCAAATATTTATCCAGTTTTCCTGTATTTTTAAATAAATTTTCAATATTTTAAATGTCTTCTCTTTTCTTAAAATGTTTTTGAACTACTCCCTTTGTATCTTTAAATTTGATATACTTTCCTTTTTAGGATATAATTAAAAGTTAGCTACACTTTCCCTTTTTGGTGAGTTTTTCTTTTAAAAATACTCAACTACCCTTACTTTTTTACTTTTATATTTTCTTTCATTCTTCCTTAAATAATGTGCTGAAACTAATGTAGCAATCTTTGGAATGTGGAGAAGTATTTTTTTTTAATTTTCAAAATTGCTTTTTACTTTTTGTTAAATTGCTAACTTTTCAAATTTTGTTGAAATCTTTCATTAACATTTTAAAAAACAGTTTCTTGTGGAACATTTTATTCTTCTAAAAAAATTGTTTCTATATATTCTTTATCATTTTAAATATTTTTTATATAAATTTCTTACTTTTTTAAGATTTTAATTTCTTTCTATTTTACTAAGACGTAGGATAGGGGTTGGAGTTTAGGGTTAAGAATGCGGCAAAGTTGTCTGAACCAAAAATTTCTAGTTTGTTAGTTGGATGGAACCCCAGATACAAAAAATTTGGGATTTAAAGCCTATTATACCGTTTTAAGTTATGAACATTTGTGATGTCCATTACATTTACGACCCAAGGCTAAATGATATACCAAACACATTCATTAAATACATATATAGTACTGATTACATTGCGTAGTTGATTACGCCATACCAAACATATCCTAAGAATATACAGACGTAATACTGATTACATTATTCACAGATTGACAATTGCTGTTACCTTTCAGTGCTGCTCTTCTGTTAGTGTATATGGTTTTTGTCTCTTCCAATGCACTTTCCATTAAATCCAAAAAGTAGTCTTCAGGGACTCCTCCATAGCTCAACAGAGCAATCAGATACTTTGACAGGTATGACCTCTTGGGTTTATGGCTGGAGAAGGTACTTCAATGGTTAATGAGCGGAATTGTAAATTACCTAACATCTATCATGTCAAGTTTAAAACAAATGCTTCTTCAAATCGTCATATATGCAAATTTTGAGTTGATGACATCTGTCAACCTATTTGGGGAAGTACACTTGGGTAATGCACTAATGCTCAGAAATGTGAAGAGAATTTGTGTATCACATGCAATCACGTTTCACAAGCTAAAAGCTTAGGGCAACCTTCTGCCAAAACGTTACCAGTCATTCTTTGTAATTGCCATATATGAATGAATGCATAAAATGAAAAAGATAATGTTGACACATGGAAGGAATCAAGAAGCAAAGAATACCTAATTGCAACTATCTCCAATGAGTTAAAAGTAGAGTTAGCTGAAAGTTTTGGATCTTTCTCGACTTTTACCATTGAAGGTCTAACCTGAATTTTCCGTGGTCCAATCTGCAACATAAAAATAACATAATATACTAAACCCGAGTTTGCAAAAGGATAAATACAAAGAGAGCTGATTTAGCAGGAAAAAGAACTTGTTCTCAAAGAACTAGAGAAAACTATCATTCCATGACGAGAGCTTCAAATAAGATGTTCAAGTACAATGAATCATTACAGTTCAAGCTGATAGAGAAAAAAACCTTTTGCAGATGCAAAGTGGATAACTTTTGGGTTCTCCTTTTCATGCGATTGAGAAAATAAATCATTTCAATAGTTCAATCTAGCAGCAAAATGGTGGTCCAACATCCATAAAAACAAATTATGTTCCTTGAATGTTTTTCAACTTCCAAACTTTGGCATATTATGACAAATCTGCAGTGGAATTACCTGCTTGTTAATTAGAAGAGTTCCTTTGATGGCACGCCCATTGTTGAACAGACGAACTTGCATTAGCAACGGCTTCCACAGTGAAGCAGAAAGAAAAGACAAGAATGCAGCATCAGCGTTAACAAATGGGAGTATTGAAATAGCACAAATGTAAAAAATTATATTGTAACCAACATAAAGAGGAGCCTTGGAGCACCAGTTATGGTTTTCCTGTGTGACCGAGAGGTCACAGTTCAAGTCTTTGGAGTGGGATCTTGTCAAAATGACAAGGGAAGGCTTGCCCACCATACACCTATGTGGTGGGAACCTCCCCTTGTAGGGACGAAAACGTGCACCGGCCATATTTTCTTGCATATTTTCAGGTTCTTGTAAACCATCCCTATTTTAGAAGTATATGTATGTATTTATGTACATACACACATTTCAGTAGATATGTTTTCAGTTAATAATGAACTTTCCTGTTTTGCTGGGCATTTACTCAACTGCACACTGGGTGCAATGGACTCAGAGTTGGAGAAATGTTGGAAATTTTTGGAAACCGAAACTGCAAATATCAGCACTCACCGCTTCTCTATTCCAAGAATGTATTCCTTCCATATCGTTATCATCAAGCTCAGTAATATCTTGAAATTGCTGCATGTTATTTTGTGGAAAGACAACATGTAAGCAGCTCTACCGCAGCAACACATTCAAGAAAATAAAATACTTGAAAGATGGAAAGAAATGATAGGAATTGAAAATCTACAGAATTCTTATCAACAAGAAATCCAGAGAACTAACCTTTATTCGATATTCACAGAAAGATTACAGGATTAGAAAGATTACAGGATTACAGGGAAACAGTCTGGGCAATTTCGAGAGTGTTAGGGCTCTCCAAGACCAATTCTAACTGTCAAACAGCCTGCCTAACTATTCCTCCCTATTGCTATTTATTTACAAACTTTCCCTCCCCAAACAGTTGGTACCCGCTAACTAACTGGCAAGCTCAATTAGTTATTTAGCGAAGTCCTTTCTCCTTTGTTACGCGTGGTCACAGACTTTAATAACACTACTATTGTCATCCCCTTTATTCCTGCTTCTATCAAGAAATCAGCAAGCTAGAAACAATACGATTCATTGTCAAAGACAGAGAGCTAGTACAGGTAGTGGGTACTCCACTAATTCACAAATGCAACCGTAAGATTCACCTTACTATTATTAATCTACTGATCTATTCTAGTATGGCCCATTTTATTTGTCCTATTGTTCTCTTTAGCCTATCTCATTAGAACACCGTTAACATTTTCTTTTCCAAAATCTCTCTCAGTTTTTAAAATAATTTGACACATTTAGCTCGAAACTCCATCATGAGATCATTTTTGGTATCATGCATGTCCCAAACTAGGGTAAAGGAGAAGGGTGTTGTGGTAGGTGCACGACGGCCAACAATATCAATTAATCACATCACATGTCATGAATCAAAATATGAATATCACTAGAGCTAGGTCGTCACTCGTAAGCAAAGCGTCATCTCTCCGTCTGGGGTGGTGTCAAATGTGCAAGGGCACGCAACACTTCATAGACCTAAGTATGGTGATAAGAATGCTAAGGTTGCTAGGTCATTGCCCGGAAGCAATGCATCTTTCCATTGCGCGGGGATGATGTCAAATAAGCAAGAGCATGGTGGGGTTTGAGGTGGTGTTAAGAATAGAAGGTGGAGTGCTAAATTGCGACTCGGGACATGGAATGTTGGGTCTCTTACAAGAAGATCGTCTGAGGTAGTCGAATTTATGAAGAGAAAGAATATTTGCATTATGTATGTGCAAGAAACTAATTCAGTTGGAGAGAATGCACATGAAATTAATCTCAGAGGTTGTAAGTTACAATATTCAGAGAGAGAGAGAGGACCAGAAATGGAGTAGGCATCATTGTGACATGAAACTATGTTGAGAATGTGGTGGATGTCTTATGGACGAACGACCACATCATGAGCATTAAATTAGTGATAGGGGTGAGATCATGTTCATGTTAAATGCTGAAGCACCACAAGTTGGTTTGGATGCATCTACACCTCAACAATTCTGGGAATATTTTGAGGAAGTGGTGCGAAAGTGCCAAGGGGAGAGAAGTTGGTCATAAGAGGAGACCTAAATGGGCATGTGGGCTTGAGTGTGATGGTTTTGAAAGTATTCATGGTGGACTTGGTTTTGCCACTAAAATTGACGCGGGAAAGAACATCTTGGATTTTGCCTCGACGTATGTGTTGGCTATAATGAACACTTGGTTCAAGAAAAGAGACTCTCATCCTGTGACCTATACAAGTGGAGCCAATAGTACTCAAATTGACTACTTCTTGGTGTGTACTGTTTGGACAACTAGTTAGACTGATTGTAAGGTTATGTTGTGGACTCTTTTTGGGGTCACACTTATAAACGACGCATAAATGGTCCAAGGGCCCGAGAGTCTACATCTGGAAATGGCTGAAGTTGGGAATAGGATATCGTTTCCTAATTCTAGTTGGTTTCCTAATTATAGTTGGTTTCCTAATTATAGTTTATTTCCTTATTCTAGTTACTTAATATGGCTGAACTGGGAAACAAGGACACTGTTTCCTAATTCTATTTTTAAGTCCTGATTCTAGTCTTGTTTCTAATTATTGTTTCTTTCCTATTTAGAACTTTAAGCAGCCTCTCTATATAAAGGGGTTTTTGCTATGGAATAAAGGACGTTTTTGGGAGAATTAATTTGTGCGTCTTGACAAGGTCGGGCGCCGATTAGTTTAACAAGAATAGCTTCATTAAACTCTGCTGATTATTTTTCTCGTTCCCGATTAATATCTCGAACACATCCCTGGACTAGGGCTAGCTCTTGCCTCCTTAACAATTTGGTATCAGATTTGGGCACGATGGGCAACGCACCGGTGACAACTGAAGCATTGAAGGCCTTATTACAAGGTGTTGATCAACGTCAAATTGACGTTGAAGAACAGTTGGCCGATATCAAGAACACCGTAACCAACTTGGTAGGAATTCCAGCAGCGTTTGCTGAGATGAGCAAAACTGTGACCAGCCTGTCAAACACTCTCAACCAATTGTTGCAGGATCCTCCATCATCCAGTCCACATGTTGGGCGGCCACGGCATACCGATAACCACCAACGCGACTTAGACGATGGGATGGTTCCACGCTACTCCAAGTTGGAGTTTCCCCAGTACGATGGATCCAGTGATCCATTAGCGTGGCTGAAGCGGTGCGAGCGGTTCTTCGTGCAACAGCGCATCCAACCGCAGGCACAAGTAGGGTTGGCTACTTTGCACATGACTGGTAATGCCCAACTTTGGGCAGATCAGTTAGATCCAGCGGGAACAAGCCTTAACTGGACGGAGTTCTATATCCGTTGTTCAAAACGATTTGGGCCCCCAAGCAGCCACAACCCGGAGGGTGATCTGGTGAATTTAAAGCAAACGTCTGACTTAGAGTCTTATATTACTAAGTTTCAGCAGTTGCTAGCCCGAACAGCTGGAGTGTCGACCCGCATGCAAATCAAAATTTTTATGGCTGGACTTCGCGAGGCAGTACGCGTGGAGGTCGAATACCAGGAACCCGTTGATCTTGACACAACCATGATGCTCGCCAGAAGCAGCGAGCGCAAATTCATCGCAGCTGCGACTTTAACAAACAGCAGTACATATGGATCCGGTAGGTCCAGTACTCAAATTCCTCACTCCGTTATCCCTGAGCCGACACCAGTAAAGAAAAATTACAACCCTACGTTTAAAAAATTAACTCGGGCTGAAGCTGCTGCACGACAAGAAAAAGGATTATGCTACAACTGTGATGAAAAGTGGATCCGTGGCCACCGATGCAAACGATTATTTTTCGTCGAAATTGTGGATGACGACTTTGAAGAGGCCCCTGAAACCCAGAGTGAGCCTTCCTTGTCAATCAACGCAATGACTGGGTTCGGGTCACATTCCACCATGCAACTAGCCGCAACCTTGTTTGGACAGTCCCTGAAGGTTTTGGTCGACTCAGGAAGTACTCACAATTTTATCCACCAACGTTGGGTCCCCATGAACACCCTTCAGCAGCACTCGGGCACCCGCCTACAAGTTTTGATGGCTAATGGAGACCGAGTACCCATCATTGGTACATGTTCGCGACTTCCGTTCACTGTTAATCAAGATAACTTTCATGCAGATTTTTATGTACTGCCGTTATCCGGTTTTGATATGATTTTGGGCATCCAATGGCTTTGTGGGCTTGGCTCCATACAATGGGACTTCTCAAAACTCTCCATGCAGTTTACTTGGAATGGCAAACCAGTGACATGGAAGGGTCGTGGGGCCGATGTTTCAACTGTCTCTCACATGGCAATCTGCCAGGACAGTTCTAAATCCTCTCTCAATGAGCTTCTATTGCATTTTGAGGATCTTTTTCACAACCCCTCTGGCCTCCCACCCCAGCGTGCATGTGATCACCGCATTACCTTACTCCCAGGCACGGGTCCAGTTGTGGTACGTCCGTACCGCTACCCTTATTTTCAGAAAGATGAAATTGAAAAACAATGTGCTGAAATGTTGACGCAAGGGATTATTCAACCAAGACGATCTCCATTCTCCTCTCCGGTACTTCTCGTACGTAAACCAGACAAGTCCTGGCGTTTTTGCGTTGATTACAGAGAGTTAAACTCCAAGACTGTTAAAGATAAGTTCCCCATTCCGGTAATTGATGAGCTATTGGATGAGCTTCACGGAGCTCATCTTCACGAAACTTGACCTACGCTCGGGATATCACCAGATCCGCATGGCCCTCGAGGATGTGGAGAAAACAGCTTTTCGAACACATCATGGACATTTTGAGTTCCTCGTCATGCCATTTGGTCTGACTAACGCACCATCCACGTTTCAGAGCTTAATGAATGATATATTTGGGCCGTATCTCCGAAAGTTTATCTTGGTCTTCTTTGACGATATCCTCATTTATAGCAAGACATGGTTGGAGCATATGTATCACATCCGCCTCGTCCTAGAACTGTTACGATCACATGGTCTCTTCTTAAAGCAGTCCAAGTGCAGCTTCGGGGCCTCCCAGGTGCATTACTTAGGGCATGTCATCCACAGCAAAGGAGTGGAAGTTGATCCGATAAAGATTCAGGCAATCCGTGATTGGCCTACTCCGACTTCTGCTACGGCCTTACGAGGGTTCTTGGGGTTAGCTGGCTACTACCGCAAATTCATTCAACATTATGGAGAGATTGCGGCACCCTTAACCCAACTCTTGAAAAAGAATGAGTTCACCTGGAATGCAACAACAGACGCAGCTTTCACAACGTTGAAACTCCGTTTGTCCACCACACCTGTGCTTCAACTCCCAGACTTCACTAAACCCTTCATTGTGGGATGTGATGCTTCTGGGAGTGGCATAGGGGCTGTTTTGCAGCAAGAAGTGCACCCAATCGCTTATTTCAGCCGTAAAATTGCAGACCGCCACGTGAAATTAGCCGCATATGAACGGGAACTCATCGGGTTGGCTAAAGCGGTGACTCACTGGAGACCTTATTTGTGGGGTCAAGAATTTCTTATCCGTACCGACCACTCCAGTTTAAAACATTTATTGGACCAGCGTTTGACTACGTCCCCCCAACAACACTGG